TGTGTGTGTGTGTGTGTGTGTGTGTGTGTGTGTGTGTGTGTGTGTGTTTTCCTCGTATGCAGTAACATTTATCAAGTCCACACACACACACCCTTTTTAAATAGTCTGGTTTACCTTGAGGGCTCAGTCAATACGCACTGGAGCAGATGTTGAGTTTGTATTTAGCTCTGCGTGTTAACACACATTTGTCAATGTTAAAGATGACTACAGTGGCAGTGTAAAGGATGAGGCTGGCCGATGTTCTATAACATGCGTTGTGTGTGTGTCAAAGCTCGATGTATCTTCTTCCCTCTGCACCACAGACCTCCCTTTGTTGTCTCTTTAAAACTATTAAAAACACATCGGTGAGCCACACTGTTGCACCGGGTGACACGTTTCTTCGCTACAATGCCCGTGGGCACCGCAGTTCATTTTGACTCCGTCTCGAATCCACCGTTCTGCCTTTAACAATGCTCTCCTTACCAAATGTGTATTAATCCGCAGCTGAAAATAGTCCCCAATCGATGCGCTGTTTCCCCTTTGTTTGAGTAGCGTTTGCGAATAAACTACAGTGCCCAGCTGTTTTAGGAAATTACTGAGCCCATTTATCAGCAGGAACCAATGGGCTGTAAACATTTTGTACCTTGTATGTGCATTCAAGAAACCTGCTATGAAAGATAACACATTTGACATTCCCTTGAAGTATTTTAAAAGTCAAAATACAACAAAAGATTCCAGCTTCTCAAATGTAAATATTTGCTGTTTTTTTGCTTTTCTGTGTTAGTGTTTGGGTTTTGGACTGTTGGTCGGACAAAACAATCGATTTGACGTCTTTGAGTGTGTGTGTGTGTCCTCCAGGGCTATCAGCAGCAGTAAGGTGACGGTCCTGGGCTACGGCCTGCTCACCACGGACGCGCGCCCCCTGGTGGAGGCTCTGAGCAGGCAGCGGTTCGCCGTGGTCGTGGTGGACGAGTCGCACTACCTCAAATCCAGGAACGCGGCGCGGACCAAGATCCTGGTGCCCCTCATTCAGGCCGCCAAGCGGGCCATCCTTCTCACCGGCACCCCGGCCCTGGGTCGGCCTGAAGAGGTAATGAAATCTGCTCAAATGATTAGAGTTGGAGAAATGCCGTATAATGGGAAAGAATGCAAATTTAAGTGGAGTGAGCTTTTAGTATTTTTTTTTTCTCCTTCCAGTTTCAAAAGTGCTGATTCTTAACCCAGACTCATGAAGAAACATTATAGGGCCACAGAGCTAACTCGGGGCTCATCTCTGGCTCCTCACAAAGATGCTTCTCAATATAGCGCAGGTAGATCACCATGGCAACTTGCTCCGGAGCAGATTCCGACACTCAAAAAAGCCAATTAACTCTCCCCGGCATCACTTATCCTCGAGGATCCCGTGGTCTTATTTCAATAACCTTTTGTTGCAAAAACTTCATTTGCAAAGGCCGATATGAACAAGACACCGCGCTGCAATAAATGAGACAAGTAATAAAAAGAGGCGCACGGGGTGGGGGTAAGGGGGGGGCTATTGAATTTAGAGACAATAAGAAGGGCTGTTCACAGGACAACGGTGTTTGGAGAGCGCCGGAGCCATTCCCCATCTCCATAATGATTTATTATATCATTTTTATATATGATACATTGAAGCAGTGGGTTGCAGCCGTATTCCATCACTGCAGGACGAAGTGAATGGAAAATCTTTTCAAGGCCTCATCGTGAAGAGACAATACAGCATCAATAAGACGTACTGTATGTCCACCGTGCCCTAATGACGGGGCACTGATACAGCCCTGTGCTGAGGCCTTTTACGCTGTCTCTACTTTCCCTCCAGTCATCCTCTCCGGCCCCGGGAGCAGCATTCATTCGGGCTCTTACGGTGTTGCTCGTAAGCTTAATATGTTGGCTGTAGTTAATGATGTAGTGTAAGTAGTCAATTTATTTACTGTGTTTACAAATTATGCAGTTGATTTGAAAAATAATAGTCGTATTTTTGCCACATAATTGATTATTCATAACCTGCATAATCTGAATATCTGTGTTGTACATTGAAAATACTACAACTTTATGTATGCAGAATGTTTAACAGAGTTACAAAGGGCTTCACAGATATTTATAAACGATAAATCATTGAAAGAACAATACAAAGCAGAAACCCAGCAGAGGCAAGATGACGACAGTAGTTAGAGGCCCTACAAATACAGGTATTTATCTGTACAATTAAATATTCATGACAAAATATATATAATATCGAATAGCAATAATTCATGTTAAAGTTTTGGGGAAAAAACATCCATGGTTATTTATCTATTAAGAGTTTTTAACAGTCAAAAACTAATCTGCTTCATCAGGACTGTCTCGCTTAATCCTGATTGGCGCACGGAAGTAAGTGACATCACCTTTTTTCCCCCAACTGAGACACGCTGAACTCGCACAGTGAGAGAATCACACCGACCAAACAGCTCAGAGGGAAACTTCCTTTCTATACTCAAACGGGAGAAAATTAGGGACCATTTTCAGCTGCGGATTAATACACATTTCTAAATTTTCTAAAGTTATTTGTTTAGTTACACTCTGGCACGTGTGGAGTCAGAATCTGAGTGGTGTAGTCTGATGTGAGACCATGAAGAATATTTTATTGAATTAATTATAAAAAGCAATGATTGCAACAAATGAATTTAAAATATAACACAATCTAAAACAGACTGGGAGCAAATGTAAAGCTAAATCTGGTGCTATTTGGTCACATTTGTCAGTTTTGTCCCTGTTGTGTTAAAGAAAACGAACAAAGTGATAGAGCTGATAACCGACTACATTACTAGTCTGACATCATAGGCTTTGTGTTGACTATTTTTAAGTATCTTATGTGAGATGGGACTCAGACTCCTCTGTCATCAAACTGCCACGTCGCTGCGAGGAAAACTTAATTATTGCCTCAACTCGATCGCGATAATTAACCGAGACCCAGGCAGCTAATTAATTCCAGAAATGGAGCGATGTTGGTGCTTGTAAGAAATCTGGAGAAGGTGTGTGCGTGTGCGTGTGAGATACATGCCATCCTGTCTTTGCCATCGCCTTGCCCCGCAGTGTTGAGGTTAGTTTTTTTTTTTTTTTTTTTTGAGATATCATCTCTCTCCCTCTCCCTGCCACTAGAATCTGAAATCGAATATAACATTTTATATCATCCACAGCATAAACCTGATAAGCCCTGTCCCTGCCTCTGTGCCAGTCTCCCCGCTGCCATCATTACTCACTGGTGGCTCTGACATCGAGTTAGCACACAGCTCAGGGCATGCTGCACCGTTCACGATGTGCCCTCATTCCACCCACCTATTATATCAACAGTGTGAGGGCAGAGGGGGGGGGGAGATGCAAAGTTCCTGTTGAACAAGCGCTGAATTTAGAACAGCGCTCGCACTGTGTGGCTGATCGCCTCACCGATGATTGCCTGTCATCGCTTCAGAAATTGCTGCAAATATGCCATACGTTAATGCTGGAGACAGAACAGCTTGTCGTTCTTTTTTTTTTTTGAACGATGCAAAGACCTTTTTGATGACTTTCTATTTCTCCATATTTAATTTTCAAATCAGTTTCTTCTTTTTTTTTGTGCCTTATCTGACTTCGCTGGCGATTTAACCTGGTTAGTTGGCTGCTGACACAAATACACCGTCGCACAATGCATGGCTGGTAAACTAGGCGAAGGACAACATGACCTTAAATACATTGCACACAAGATGCACTTCATGACAGTAGACTAATCGTGAGCGCAAGTAAGGTCTGTGATTAAAGCACCCCCAAAAAAGCTCTCTGTATTTTGAGTTATTGCGTGCGACTTTCAGAAAGTAAAAGGTGAGAAGTTGTGGCTACTAAAATAGCGTGCCATCTTCATGTCACGCTGCTAAACTTAGCAGCTGTGGTATGAGAATGGTGAAATTTATACAAGATATTGTAATAAAATACCTTTTTCCAAAGTAAAAGTTATTATTGTTAGCATTTGGGGACATACACTTATTCACTTTCTTACCGAGAGTTAGCTAGATGGGATTGATACCGCTTGCTCGCTAAATACCAAGCTACTGCCAGCAGCTGCTTAGCTTAGCTGAGTTTAGCTGTTTTTTTGATAAACTCATTGAATTATTTGTCTGTGACATGAAACGTCGTAACGGTAGCAAAAATTGAGAAGAGTGACAAACTGACTTTGCTGAGTTTCTGACTCTAAATGAGTCGGCGTTAGTCATGTCAGTTAGCAGTATTTAGCTAAAGTTTGCAAACATTAGCTACAACAAGCTACGTGACAATTAAGGGTTAATGGTGATTGCTAAAACATAATGTAACATTAGCTTAAGGAGAGACGAGTGATAAAGTTAGTTTATAATGTCAGTTACACAGCAACATTTATATACATTTAAAAAGAAAAGGAAGTAAATGTTATTGGTAGGAAAATATACTAGAGATTGAGATATTACAGATAAAAGGAGGTTAATTCAAAAATGGGACGCAGCAATATTGTCACACATTCTCCACGGCTTGTCCCAAGTCTCTGTCTCTCTTCCCCAGCACACACACTTACACACACACACAGCCTGTAATGGTTTATCACAGAGCACCTATTAAGGGCCCTTTTCCTGTCTCTGTGATTCACAGCTTTTCATGCAGATTGATGCCCTCTACCCCAAGAGGCTCGGAACCTGGACTGACTATGCCAAGAAATACTGCAACGCCCATTACAGGTGGGTCTTCAACGCACACACAAGCTAACGTGCACCTCGTACACATCGTCCCACATATTTGTAGTGTAGCTTAATGCTACTATACATGTCACATGCTACTTGTTTGACATTTTGGTAAACGCGCTGATTCACCTTCTTGCCGAGAGTCAGCTGTGAAGGTAACTCTGAATTTGACAAATCTAGGCTCGCTGCCTCAAGTGTTTACGCTAAGCTAAGCTAGGCTAAGTTAACTAGCTCCAGCTTCATATTTAGTGGTATTTTATTTAACTCTCGCCAAAAAAATGTGAATAAGCACATGTCCTAAATCGTCAAATGAAACTTTATTTTAATCCATTTTTTATTTACACACTTTTAATTCGTTGCTCAATGATATAAGCAGACTTTCCAATAGATCCCATCTACCATTAAATTCTCACTCTTTTCAAGTGTCTGCTGGGATAAGGTGGGCTGTACCTGACTCTGGAGTGGCGGTGCTATTGAGTTGAGGTGGTTTTGTTGTCAGAGCCAGACCCGACCGAAGCCAAGCGTTAAAATGCCAACTGGCTGCCACTTGCCTGTGACGATCAGTTACACGTGTGAACACACACATCAAATGCATTGTTTTGGATGTCAATCACAGTCGGGCAGCTCTGCTTTGGATGGGCCCGCCGGCATTAGTGACAACACTTTGTATCTAATAGCACTCGGTGTGGCTGGGGGGGGGGACGCTGCTCTGAGCCACATCAACACATTCATGCGAAAGATCGAGCGCGCACACACACACACACACACACACAAGGGCGCAAAGCAGAGTCACATTAGGCAAAGTCTTCCTATTCCCTTCATCATAGTGATGTTATTGTGGGAGGGAGAAAAGTAGCTGCACAGCTGTGGAGTTGCTGGTTCAAATCCCCTCTCAGCAAACCAGAAGCAGAAACATTCTTTCACTTCCCCTTCCCTCAGAAACTACACGTTTAGATACCGAAGTGTGAAACAGCGCATTTTGGCAGTGGCTTGTTAAGTTTGTCCAGACTTCCAGCCAATATGGCAGATGACCAGCCTTTGTGTGGAGGGCCAGTTCTATTCTAAAAAAAATCCGCCTGGCAGATAGATTGCGAAAGTTGCCAGGCGAGTTTTGGGATAAACCTGCTGGCCATTAGACAAAATAGTTTGCTGCTCTGCAAAGTTGCCCTTAAGCAAAAAAAACTGATTTCCCCCCCCCCAACAACTGCTCCAGCAGAGCTGCTCAGCGGTACACGATGGAAGGCTGTTGCAGAGCCGGGCAGCTCCCAGGTGGGAATGTTTTAAATGTGTTTAACTACTCCTGCAGGGCATTGCTGTAAATAACTATGCTTTCTTAGGAAGTTTCTCTCGGTTTTCGAAATATATAAAATGCATCTACAGCCACAGCTTCGCCTCTCTTTTTTTTTTTTTTTTCTCTCACAGGTACTTCGGGTCTCGCAGGCAGTGGGACTGTCGCGGGGCGTCCAACCTGGATGAGCTGCACCGGCGGCTGAGCGAGATCATGATCCGCCGTCTCAAGGCCGAGGTGCTCAAGCAGCTGCCCCCCAAAGTCCGCCAGCGGATCCCCTTCGACCTGCCTAAGGAGGCCGCAAAGGTACATGTCACACGACAACATGTGGCCTTTTGTCGGACATCCAATCACTTTGCCGATGTCGTTATTTTCAAGGGCTGCAGCTAACGATTGTTTTCATTCCAGACCAATCACGAGTCGATAGTTTTGTGTGAATGTCAGATAATAATTAGGTGCCGCTCATAATTTCCCAGAGCCCAAGGTGACATTATCAAATGTCCAGCTTGAGAAACGGCTCAAACCATTAATTAACCATGAAGATAGTTCCCAAATAATTTTTCTGTTGATGGACCGAATGATTAATCGCTCAAGCTCCAACGTTTACACACATGCCCGACGCAAATTTCCAAAAGCGTCGCGTCTAAACATCCAGTCGCGTGTCATGTCTCGATTAATAGAGATGCGGCAGATTCACGCTGTTAGGTAAAATTAAATTCTGTTATCTCCGGGTTTATGTATTTCTCAGCACACGGGGAGTGATTAAAGATGATATATATACAGACGACACTCTCCTGCTCATCACCTTTTTATTTATTTATTGTGCTGCTTTAACTGTTGTTAGAATTTTGTAAATGTCGCTTTTTTACCACTTTCATCGTGGTATGCTCTGAAGGTCCTTTTTAGAACGAAAGCTAAAAATAAAGTGTTCTCTGCATAGATTTAAGTGTGCGGACATCTATTCTACCAGCACCACTTTCATCATAAGTTGCCAATTTACATATATATATATATATATATATAATTAATTATATATATATATATATATATATATATATATTTTCTAATGGTCCTCTTCACAGAGTGCACCATGTTGCGCCGTCACATTCTACAGTAGCCCAGAACGGACAAACCAAACACTTTTTGCATTTTCTTCACGTTACTTGAAGGCCACCGTAGTTCTCTACACGTTTATAAATGGAGCAGTGAGCGAAGCAAAATGAATAGTCTCCCCGAAAAAGGGACAAAGTCGATTTTAGATTTTGGTGAACTTGGAACACTCGAATGAACCCCAAACGAAAAGGTGAGAGAGATTCAGGATAAGAATAAGAGGCCCGGTCTCTTTTTCCAGCTTCTACTCTACATTTGCTGCTTTTCTCACTTTTATATTATCATAAACTCCATATATTTAGATTTTTGATTATTGGTTGGACAACGCAAGCAATACAAAGATGTCGTCTTAGGCTGTGGGAAGTTACGGCAATTATTTTTACTATTTTCTGACATTTGTTTTCTGACATATTTTCTGCCTATTGCTGCTTTAAGGTTGAATAACTCCTCTTCACCCTATGTACAGATAAGACAGTGTTTGTGCGTGCATGTGTGTGTGTTCCCTACCAGGGCATTTGTAGAGTGGATGTCATGTTTGGTGTGTAGGTGTTTCGCATCTCTTTTTTATTTTTCCCGGCTCCCCAAAGTTATGGTTGCGGTCTCTGCCTCCCACGCCACGCCGGATGCATTAGCACACGTGGTTGCTAATGTGGCTTTGACCCGGGCCTGTGCGCCCGGCCTCCACTCTCTGCGCCGGGTCACTGCTGTCGACGCTACAAAGGAGGTCGCTTTCCTGACGGAAGCAACCGGCACAGAGAACAATACACATTTAGAAGCAGTAGGAGTGGAAGCTCTAGCTCTAATTACGCCAACATCCCAAGAATGACACGACAATAAGGAAGTTGCTCATGAAAAGTGATGAAGCAGGATTTTCTTTTTTCTCTCTTCAAATGTTAAGGGACGCTTTAATTGTCGGGTTAAATATGGTCGGTGTTCCTACACAGTGGTGCCAATTAGGCCGGAGAACGTACGCGCGGAACGGTTGGAAAAAGTTCACGTCGTGCCTCGCAGTCGTTCCTCGCTTCGCTCTCTTGTGAGTTGTGGCGCTGAAACATCCGCGGATAAATGAGCTCGCAGATCATCCGTCTTTGCGGAAACAAAAGGAGCGACCGGCTGTCTTCGTCTGCTCGTCCGTCCCAGGAACGCAACGAGGGAAGCTCTTCAAATTTGGCACAAATGTCCTCTTAAACTCAGGGACGAACTGATACGATTCTTTCCATAACTCAATGCTATTTATGACAAATTTTTTAAAAAAATGTAACGATGAAGTGGTTTTACAGTTGGCGGAGGCCCACCACCGCGAGGCGGTACTCCTAGTTTGGCTCGTTAGTGTATTTTAAAACCGGTATTTGTCCACTGAGAAGAATAGACGGCCATTTTACCCTCCCAACTAAATGGACTGGTTTTTAAGAGATGAGAAAGGGAGATGTGAAGTGGCCAGTCCCCCCCAAAGCGACGGACATTGTGCCTCCTCCACGAGAAATGGAAAAATATGAACAATATGAAGCATAAAAAGGTCTTTTGAAGCCCAGTTTTGCCAGCCGACGATATCTAATGTACACCAGCACCACTCGCCAATACAGCCTCGTTCCCCCTGTCTCATTTTACTCCCTAATGACGGCTTTTATCTTCCACAGCAGACACTTTTTATGCCCCTCCTGCCCTTTACGTTTTCAGCCCTGGCCTTTTGTCACGTTAGTCTAGTGAATATCATCAAGGGTGGATTGTTTAGCCACTCAGGTTTTTTCTTCCCCCCCCCCAGCAGATTACAAAGCAATCTTTTTTTTAATTAGAAATAAACATTGAGAGACAGTCCAAGCCGCGTTCGCGCAGGTGCTGCGAGTGAAACATCTGAGGGGGGGGGGGGGGGCATGAAAGAAACGCGGCTTTGCGTTCCCGCAAATCCGATGCCGTTCGTTCCCCCGGCCGTCCTTGACTTTGACAAGGTTTGGAATCCGCCGAAATGCTAATTATTTCACTAAATGGTGCAAAGCTTTCGTTTCACCAAGCGCCTCTCATTGCACCGGTCACGCGCAAAATGAAAAAAAAAATTCTGTTGTCACATTAATAAGGCTTCTCACTCTTTTCTCCCCCACCCCTCTCCCACCTCGCTCACTCATCACCCTCCCCTCTATGTATGTATGTATGTATGTAGTTGCTTAATCATACGCGGACCACCTCTTCGCTCAGCCCGCCATATGGCTTCACAGTTTTCGCGTCGTTTGATATGCAGCGCTTCGAGGAAGTGTTCGTCGCCGTTTGCTGAAAATGTGTGCCTGAATTCAGGCAGATGAGTTGTGGACAAAAGGCACAAAATAACCTGTAATGACAAAGTCAAGGGGGTTCTTCTGAAGCACTTTAGATTATAGACACGCAGCAGTCATTCCATGAAAATTGAAGCAAACCCAATCTTTCAATACAGCGTGCTGCTTTTCTTGTCACATTCCAACATCATGTTGCATTGTAGTGTGAAGTATCGAGTGTTTCCATGTGTTTTAATGATAAACAGGGCTAACCCTCTCTGCGAGTCTTGTGAACGGGGAGGCAGCATATGCTGCTCTTCGCCGGCAGCCTCTCCCCCCCACTGCGCTCCCCAACTCCCGCCCTTAAATACTTCTCGCCAATCACCTTGAGAGAGAGAGAGAGAGAGAGAGAGAGAGAGAGAGAGAGAGAGAGAG